CACATGCTCTGAAAAAGTGCCCCAAAGGTGCTGAAGCCCCATTTCAGGCTGCTGCTGTCCTGTTGCATTGCTGGGATAACTGTGAGTATGTGATTGTCCTCACTTAAAATGGTGTGAGCAGGTTGTGCAAGGCTGCTGAGGCCAGCGGATGTGACGGACGGAGTTGGGGTGAAGCAGCTGGTGTTTTCCTCAGTCATGACGTGGACCAACTGAACCCACCACCACCCTCTGCCACTGCGTGTTGCATTCTGAGCTGCTAAACTACGTGTGATACTATGGTGAAAGCCAAATGCCTGGTCAGTGACAAAGCATGAGTAACTGTCACCGGTCCTTGTCCATGTCTCCACTGGCTGTACTGATGTTCCTGTCTGAGTGTTCCACAGTGTAAGTGCTGTACAATTCCTAGTTTAAAACTGTTTGCACTTTGTTAATAAAATGAATGTTGAAATCTGATGTGATGTTTGAAGTGTTTGTGCGTAAGTACTGCACTAGAGTCTGTCAGTGAGTACGGTGCTGCCGCCTTGCCCTTCTCCGAGGAGAACTCTTGCCTGTCATGCGCTGGGCACCCTTTTTCTGAGATATTCAATGAGAAGTGCTTAAATCCACCTGGGATTTGTAAGGCTATTATGTTCTAGAACCCCTGATACTCAAATAGGAACTGGGAGGAGCTGCAGCTTTTACCCGAATGTAGTTTTGAGTTTCTTAGCTAGACGGAGGTGGAGCCCTGAGCTACCTCAGGCACCACTTGTTCTGGTGGCCAAGTGCTGAGGGTGGCCTGCGACAGGCTGTGCCCTGTTGTATTGCAGCAGGAGTGTTTGGTGTTGTACAGGGCTGTGTTGTCGATCACACACAACTCAATTAGCAGTAATCACGCTGCTCTGCCTTGTCACCACTCACATATGCTTTGTTTTAATGAGAGGCCCATGCTGAAGGAAGTGGTTTGATGGAGCATGTGCCCCACTCTGGTGTTGGGGTCCAAGGGAAGGAGCCGGAACTGTTGCGCTTTGCTTACCTTATGGAGAACAACCTTACACAGCACTGGCTTTTTAACAAAAGTGGGGGGAAAAAGAGACTTGGAGAACTTCGTTATCTAATTTGCCATAACTGACCCTTCCTTCCCTTCAGAACAGCTCAGAGCTGGGCTGTGACAGTCCCTGTGATGGCAGCAAGGGAACCATGGTACCAGCTGACACAACCACTGTTGTCCAGTTCTGGTACATGCCACACAGAGGTAAGCTGCTTTCACCACGGGAAAGACATTTAAGTCAGAGGGTGATGGCTATCTCTGTTAGCTCTTAAATAAACAGACTATCTGAATTGCAGTTTAAATTACTGTTTTATTAAGATATTGATAAAACTTCAACAGTTTTTCCTGTATAAACAGCTTTCATAAATAAAATATGGATGACTAATACATGGTTGAAACTAATAGGTGGACTGTAGAACAAGACTACACGGGGGAAGTCCCAACCCTGGGAAATGGTTTGCTTTAGTTTATTTGCTGCATCAAGAACACATTATTGTCATGAACACAGTAACAGAGAGGTCAACAGGAGCCCCCATGTCACAACCGCCAGCAGGAGCACTTGATGTATGGTGAGAGCTTGGTCCCATGCCCTGGTCCTATCCCAGGTGAGGAAACCACAGTGCACATGCAACACACAGGAGTTGTACTAGACCCCAAGGATTGTAGTAGACCCTAAGGGAGGGGATTTTAGTTTTACTGCTGGGCAAGTACAGGGCAAGTACAGTGCAAGTACTTGATGGGCGAGGGCAAGGAAAGGATGGGAACGTTTTAAGTTAAAGGTTGCGTTAACGCTTCATTATTACTTACTGCACAATACAAGGGTAGAAAGTTTTGTTCCTGTTGCAAAGAGGATATGAATTAAAGAAAGATTGCCCCAAATTACAGGCATGATCAAAGCTGGAGTATCCCCTTCAATGGCTTTGTTTATGTGACTAGTGCCCAGTGAGTATATTGTGCTAAAACAGCCCCTAATTTAGACCAATCTTTCTCATTTGCTTTTTCCTGCAGAACACTGCCATGGTGGGGAGGATTTTGTGAGGAGACTAGCCCTGAACTAAAGCAGCCGTGTCTATGAACATGGGGCCTGTTACACCTCATCTGCCCATAGGATGTGTTTCTCGCCAACACACAGTGTTCCAAGAAGAAAGCGGAGCTTCTGTGCCGATGCACAGCTATAAATGTGGCATAAGGTAAAGTCTGCTTCGACATTGGCCCTAGGTGCTGCACTGCAATCTCAATCAACTACCGAATAATTTTAACTGGCAAGGACAATCGATGGCACTTCTAGGTAAAGAAAAGTTCTATACATGTGTTTCCACCCACCATCAGTGCAAACCGCGGTGGGTTAAGGGCTCCCCTGTCCCTGCAGCACAGACACCCCAGAGCTGCACCTTCCAAAAGCGTGAACAGGGAACAACCAGAGAGGGGACTGCGCGAATCCCAGCAGGACTCACAGTGAAGAGCTTATGAGCGAGGTTTGAGCAGCTTCAGATGAACAGCCTGGAGCCTGCTTCTCAAAACCACCACACATTAACAAAAATCAACATAAACATCATGTTTTCACTCCCTACCTCCTAGTTCTGCGCACAGGGTTAACATGTAAACTGAAACTGATGCGGGTTGTCTTAACGCAGAACAGGGATACTTCAGCTCTTTATTGGAAAGATTCGTTATACAAATTTCACCACCACTAAGATACACAATAAAAATACAAAACACAGGTCACAGACTGAATCTCAGTAGCAACAGTTAATAAATACAATTAGATGCTTTTATATTAGCCTAGTATCTTTACATTGTCACCAGATAGACAATCAAAGTACGAGATACAGAACACTTAGATACCGTTAGAGAGGGATTATTGCTTACGTTAGCAAGCAGCAAGTAAGGGCACAGGAGTTTGAACTGAAGAGAACTACTTCCTATCACCAGTGGCATTAAGAGAAAACACTGCGTTTCACAAAGCACTGCTTTTTGTCTAGTGGGTAGAATCAAGAGCAGCATATATCAGACCAATAACCACTACTTGTAATAGTATAGAACTTTAAAGGACTTACCTTACAAATGGTTCCTATCTACTCTATAAATATGCATTTAGTGAAGAAATGAACACTTGCTACCTATACAATGTTTTAACCTGACCACACTGGAACTATGATGGCAGATTTTTTTTCTCCTAGCAAGATAAATGGTATGAGTGGCAGAATTATCACTTATGAATCCATACCTAAAAAGCTAAATCCTTCCCCAAACAGCACACATGCAATCCAGCACTCATCAACTGCTCCTGCAGATTGGGAAGAAGTTTTATCATCTATCACAGCTCTTCATTCTCATTTACTCACACACAGAATTGCACTTACACCACCTTCCTCTCCAAAACACGACACTAAGATGGACTTTCAGGGCGTCATTATTACTGTGAAGAATTTAAAACAAAGGCACCGCAGAGATGCCCCAGAGTTGCATATTTTATCATCTCATGATTCCTCAAATTTCTTCAGTAAATATGACTTGGAACATATGCTGCAGCTAAAGAGAATGTCGAGAACAGCTAAGGCTTAGTAAGATGACAGATAAGAGCCAATGATCCTGTAAGATTAAAAACAAAAAGCCTGAAAAAGATCAAAGGAATCTAAAGCCACACTCTAACACTCCTGGTTACTCACAAAGCTTTTCACTGTTCCTCAGATTGCTTTTATAATAGTGCATCAAAGGTAGAAGCAGCAGAAAGTGGCAGAACTCAAACCTTGCCATCTTGTCGTGTTGAATAATCTCCTGACTACTTAATGTTAAAATACTTCGCAAATTCTAGCTAAATACTGTTATTAAATTGCTAATGCTTAAAATGATATGAGTTGTACAATAAGTGCTTATGAAGACTGACTTTATTCATACCCTTCCAAATATTTTACTGTAACGAAGAACAGCAACAGGGTGTGTATTTAGTGGAGCTGATGGGAATCGTCTCCTTACTTATGTCCCAATTAACTGCTCCCCCACGGGTTCAGCATCACCTCAACAATAGGGATAAGCTGGTGGGTACCACGCGTTTCCCAGTATGGTAAGTAACACTGCTTATGAAAATAAGGGCAACTGACATGGCTCACTTCCCCTTCTGAACCCAGGTTTCACCAAAGCAGAGCTCTGGCTGGCCAGTGAGTTTTACTCTCTCCACAAAACCCCAAGTGCAGCCCCTGCTCCTCTGCACCCACAGCATTTCCACCCCACCTGGGATTGCTCTGGCAGCCTGGCATCCATTCCTACACACTAGAAAACACTACACCGCAGCAGTGGCACTGCTCGAAGACACAGCACGCTACCATCCTTCCTGATGCAACTTCATATTGAATTATGCCTTTGCCACCTAGAGGTTATCACTGAAACCAAACAGCTCATTAGATTGCTCATTATCTTGCACAAGCAGTTCTCTGGTTTGACTGGTTGAGTGGCAGTAGTATTGTACTGAACATCTCCATAGATTGGTTTCTTTTAAGACCTGAGATGAAGTTATGGTGGGAAGAGGTTGGCTCAAAGCAGTAAGCACAATCAATGTTCAATGAAAACCAATTGAGAACAGTTTCCTAAACTGACAAACAAGAAAAATGCCACTAAAAGCACCAGAAAGATATGAACCTCTAGCTATAGGAAAGAATTGGTTTTAAAAACTACAAAACCCAGTTTTCTTCATATTCCACACTTTATGTTACATGAACAAAAATAGGTAAGTTATGAGTCTATACCTCAACTGGAGTCTGAGAACAGAGCAGCAGGAGCTCAGTTTGTCCATTCCTAAGTTACCTGGTAAAACCCTGCATGGCTTTTAGTCATCTACCTGCAAAAGTGGATGTAATTTTCTAATTCATCTTAATGCTTGCCTGAAATAAATAGAAAGCAGAACACAAGAAACCCCCCACACACCTGGACTTCTACAGAAACTTCCCCCCCACTCAAAAAAAAATTTGGCAGTTCTAAACCAGAATCTTGCTTTACATATTGCTCCACAGACGTAGCTCAGGCAGGTTCAACCTCTGGTGTTTTTAAGGACTGTTAGTTCCCTAACGGTGTCTATGAGGTGAACCAGCTGTTTGGCTTCCACCAGTGAATGTGGTCAGATACTCACGTGTGCGGGTGGTTGGTGGCTGCGGCATTGCTCAGGGTGGCACCACCAGCAAACTTTATTGAGATTGAAACAACTACATTTGTTAATTCCTAGATGTATTTACATATGGTTTGAGCTTTGCAGGGGACGGGAGTACAGTTCGGAAATGCCCACCTTTTTTTCCGCTTTCTGATGATGCCAGTTTTATTTTGGGAATGTCTACTTTGGGAGTCTGATGGGGGAACACGAGGGAGATGGTTACATTTTACAGCATTGATGAAGGTATGACTCTGGTATACAATGACTTTGTCTTCGCATCAAAACCATGCTCTCACTGTACGCGCTGTGACCAGCCAGCCTCCACCATGGGGAGTGTCTGCCCCACACCCTTGTGCCCCTGCGGCCCCGGACAGGTAGGGACAGACTTGATCCGTCTGTGTGGGGAGGCTCATGAGCCAAGAGCAGCGTGTGAAACTTTGGTTTGAGCCTAGCTCCTCGTCGTCTGTTCCAGCTACAGAGCCGGAAGCGAAAGAGTGCAGCTCGTTTTCCCAAGGATTTGAGCAGTTCATCTTCCAGCCCAACGAAAACGGGGGATAAACCCTTCACCCTGTAGATGCTCTGCCCTGTAGCACCCAAACTAAGGGGAGCGTTGTACTCCCTGGGATTGCTCTGTCCACACATTGATGATGTGGTGCACTCTGGTGATTCATTCTTTACTCTTAGGCCATTGATCAAATTCGCGCTCTTTGGTATGCCAGGACTAAACACTTGAATTGGTGGCAGACATTTGGCACTCGGAGGTGTACTAGTTTCTGTTTTTGTCAGGTCTAAATAGCCTTGATCGTCAAACACGTTGATGCTTGACCCTATGCTTAAGCTAGTTCTGTCGGTGAAAGAATCCACCCGTCCCTCATACCCTAGATCTGCAGGTGCTGAGCACTGGTGCTGGGGCCATGGCCGTTTGCAGTCTCCATGGTTTTCTTTATCTTCCCCGTTGTCTTCTTGCCCACCTTGAAAAGAGTTCTCTGTCCAGTCTGACTCCTCGCTAACATTGACTGCTGCGTTCATGTCCCTGAGAAATACCACAATGACAGTAATGTTGTCGCTGGAACCGGCATCTCGAGCAGATGCCACTAATTTATGTGCTACCATGCTGCTGTCGCCATTATTCTCCTTTAGATGGTCAGCCACCACTTTGACTGCCTCATCGGGATTGACTGTGTCATAGAAACCATCACAGGCTAAAATGAGGTAGTCTTCAGAGCCATCTAGTACAGTGGAGGCAGAGTCTGCATCCCCACAGATGTATGGCTTGTGCTCAGCATCCCCTGTGGAAAAACACACAGATACACAAGACTGTGGGTTTGCAGCCACTGCATATGGAAGACTTTTTATTAACACAGCATGGAGCCAATGACTCTTAACCCAAGTTAAAGCGATTATTTGGAAATTATTCCCTCAAACTGTAGAGGAAGAAAATAGAGATTATTGCTCACAGGTCTATTTCATTACTTGAAAACTAAAGTTTTTAATTAAAAAGAAAAGCAAGTCTCAAAAAGAAATTAAAGCCCACTCTTACCAATAGCTCTGGAGACTGACAGGCTCCCATTCACCCTCCAGGCTCCAAACCAGACCACACATCCACCAAGTGCCTCAATGCGCTTCTTCTCATCCTAAACAAGGCAAGGCAAGAGTGGTTTGGAGAGAGCCCTTAGCACTGCCATTGCACTCTGAACACTACAAATATTTGGGTGTTTTCACAAACACAGCATGGTGGAGCCTGCAGGCCCCGACACATGAGAACAAAGGAGCTGTACACACATCCATACTGACTTCTAAACAAACCAGGATAACTGGAATATACACTCTTACTCCAAGAGACACAGACAAGGCAACACTCAGTGTCTCAGCATCCCCCATAAAGCTGATATACCTGTCAGCTTCAGTGGTAAACACTGCCCAGGTATATTTCAAACAGGCTGTTCTCACCTCCCGATCTGGTTTGTGGGGTTTCATCAGTTCCACAGCTTGGCCTCTCCTCACGAGCATAACCTGGGAGTCCCCAAGCCAAGCCACATGCAGCATATTTCCTCGGATGAAAGTCACCACCCCAGTGGTTCCACAACGCAGACTCTGGATAGGGTGAAAAAAAAAATGCCCCCAGTTTTAAATAAGCAAATAAAGAACCATTTCAAAGCATTTCCTTGCTTAACTCAAGGACTGAACATGTTGATATTCCAATACACAGCCTGTTCCCAGGGAGGAACAAGCATTGATTTTGCCTTGTGACTTCCCTTGCACTGGAATTGCATTTTGGAAGCTGGGCTTTGCTGTGCTACTGTCGTACTTGACTTCCTGGCCACTTTCCTACCTGTTAATGTTAACATACACCTGTTAATGAACTTGGAGGGAGATTTACTTGTAAGCATCTTGAATTCCCTGCACTTAACTCAGCCCTTGCAGGAGTTTAGGAGGCCTAGTGATCCATTTATTCTGGAGCTAACCAAAATGTATGTTGTAGAGATGAGGAAGAAAAGAACACCCCAAGGACTAAACCAAGTTAGCATTTGAATGTACGAATGTTCAGCAGTATCCTTCTAAATGAACTGGCTGCTGTGAGAAGTGGAGGCTGACATCTTTATGGAACATGAAGAAGCCCACCAGTGCGCACTGGCACTACGGGCTGTGCACGGACAGCTCTGTGCTGAGCCCTGGGCTGTGCTCAGCACAGCACTTGGAGCCTCCTGCTAACAAGGACAGAATTTATTGATTAATACACTCAGGTAATTCAGTCACCTCTCTGGCTGCCTTCTGGACAAAGCGCTCATCAGTCACCCGGAAAGCTCGGCACAGTGCCTCTGCTGGGTCATGCTGAAACATCTCCTGATGGACCATGTTCACATGGAGATGGATGGAGGCATAGATGGCAGCATCCACTCCCCCATGACCATCAAACACTGCAAAGTAAGCTTGCTCCTCTTGGTCCTGTCAATAGAAACACGTTGAGAAAACAACTGAGGAAAAAGCAAAGTAAACAGCTAATTGGATTGTCTTAAAACTTTTGAACTTGAGATCTGTGGCATCCTTATTCAACTGCACTTAGAGACACAGTTTCCACTGGAAAATCAAACTACTCAGACCATCTTCACTTGCATCAACAGGAAATTTCCACCTTATTGCTGATAAGTTCTATCTGCAAACTGCAAGAGATGCGCTGCAGGAACCACCTGTGTAGCACTCTGTGTTCCTTATGTCCCATTTGTTACGATTCAGTCACTCAACTCAAATAGAAAGTGCCCTTCTCATCAAATTGTGCAGGAGACTTTGTGACTGCAAAAACCACAGTGAGAGAAGAACATCCAATACAGTTTGCATGAAGCCTACATGAGGACTGTAAACCACCAGGGATAAAATGCCAGTACAGCTAAAATGTGAAGCCAGCCAGCCTCTGCTTTCATTCTTTTTCTAAAATCTAATCCATATCACCATAGATGCCTGGGGTTTTTTTTAAAACCCTCGATGTACTCTCTCATCAGGTAATTGTGATTACATTCACAAATGGAATACAGCAAAATCACTCTTCAAGTCAGTCTTCTCAGCTTCCCCTTATCTGTTCAGAGAAACAATGCTGTACCAAGAGACAGCAACTCCTGTGCCTATTCATACACAGAACACATCAACCCGCTCTCAGTGTCAATTCAACCTTGACAGCCATCTCGATGACTAGAATATTTGTATATTGTAATTTTTAAGTAATGGGCTCCAACATAAATTGGAATAAGAAAGCTAACAATTGACAAGCAAAGGAAACATCTGCCTCTGTTTGCATTAATATTGCCTAAGGCAAGAATGTGGATGGGGCAGAAGATGGTTATTAAAGCTAGAGGAGGTAATAAAGAATCAATTATGTAGCAAGCTGATCCTAAATGTAAAATTATTGCCAATTTCTTCTATCTGCCATTCTTCAGTGTCCAGTTTTGTATCTGAAGGAAGTGCAGGCATGAGTGTTCGACTGATGGCCACATAAAGAAATTAATGGAGGGAAGTCTGGCCCCAGTTCCACCAAACTACTCATCTTGCTAGATTCTTGTGTGAACTGCACCCCATTCTTCTCTAAGGTTTGTGTTTGGTTTTGATACCTTTTTTCTTACTTTCTTTCCTTATTATTGCTCTTGGCTTTTTCCTCCCAAAAGAAAGCAGTACACATCCACCCCTGTAGAGAACGGTCTTCAGTTACGAACTGTAAGGCGAACCACTTCCTTGTTTCCATCAGCAATCCTCTTCTCACCTGGGTATCTTCAGCCACAGAGAGGGTCCTACCTTGATTTATCACACGGTACTGCAATGCATCAGGGGCCACTCACAAAAGCAGGGCTACTTTCTGCATAGTGGCAAGTCAGTTCTTCAGTCACCACATGAGTGGCTACACCAGGATGGGCCAGATACAAACTTTGTTTACTTAGATAACATTTCACCAGAATCTTTGAAAAGTGCTCTTTTATTCTATATACCTTATGTAGATACTGCTCATCATACTGCCACTGTGGTTACGGAATAACAACTGAACTAACTTAGGACCAGATTTGTCACCTGATTGTCAATCCTCCTCAGGTCTGTCACAGGTATGGTTTTAATTTTCACAGAGATGACTACCTAGTTTCCCCAAGAATGCAAAATGCATTTAGCATATGCATTTGTCGTCTACATGATCTCTTCTTACCTCAAGGTTGAAGAGCATGTTGAAGTCTGGGATGCAGACGTGCTTGTCTTCCATCTTCCTGCGCATATTCTTGATGGCATGGATGGATGTCTCATAGTAGCGGTGGGGCTTTGGCTGGAGTGGAAAGTCTTTCACCCAGTTGCTGCAGATCTCATGCAGCTTGCTGAAAACTAAGCGGGCCAACTTCACTGTCTCAATCTCTAGGGAAGGCAAAAACCACAAATGAAAGGCCAAAAGTGTTATTAGGAGATATTATTTTCCTTGCATACATTACAAAGATGAAACAAAATGAGTTTAGCTAACCATTTGAAATGGATGTCAGCAGGGAAATTCTGGACTCTGGTGCATAAAAAAGGAAGCCAAACTCACCATAATCAGCATTCATTAGTAAGCAGCTCATTGTTTGTTTGTCTTTTTAACTTAAACATTCCCCTGTGCCTTTGGGGAACTCATTTGAAGGATCAGAAAAAATGAAAAGCAAGAACATTTCCCCCAGCATTTGATCCCCTGTGTCGCTCTGCACAGGGTGGTGCAACTGTGCCACAGCAGCTCTGAGAGGGACTTTGTCATGGCAAATAGCATCACATTTGAAAGCCACATCCATTAGAATGATGTATGGGGTTTAGACCAAACTCCCTGTTCCAAACAATACTTCACTGCAGTACTGAGGTGATAGAGGTGTAAATAATCTACAGAAATGAACAACATTACTTTAAGATGTTTTGGTGGTTCACACATTCAGTAGCATACACATTCAGGTACCTTCTTTAGTTTAATAATATTATTTCCAGATTCTTGACTAGACAGTGTCAAAGAAATCTGCATGAGCAAATGGGAAAACCAGAAAAGTCTTAAATTTCAGAAAATGCTGAACTGTCATTCCTGAGAAATAGTAATTTTAAAATATGTGAAAACTTGGGCACTTGACAATTGTTCTGAAATTCAGGGGAAGAAAACAGGACGTAAGCATCAGAGCTGAACACATCAAAATCTCTTTGCTCATGAGCATTCATCAAAGCCAGAGACCTTCAAAACTAAACAGCAGCAATCCATGAGTGTCAATCATTCCTGGAGGAGGAATAGCTCAAATACAGGGGAGACTTACGCCACCTCTCAGTTCACAGAAATTCCATGAAGAACCTAAAAGCACCATTTACCCATTTCTGCACTAGGTCTGTGCAAGATGTGGGCTATAATGATCAGGTGGCCAAGATCCTTAGGAGCAAGATATGTTCCCAGTTCTGCTGATTATGAGTTTGTTCAAGCTTGATCTGCAGAACAGCCATTAAGCTGGAAATAAACTATATACAGAATCAAAAGGAATCTTAGCTTATTGACTATACAGCTTTAAAAAGAAGTGGTATAAATGAAATTGCAAGGTCATCCCACCGCTGTCATATAAACAGGTACCAGTTCCCCCACAACACCTGTACTGATCTCACCAGTGCCACCAGAAATCTCTCTGCTGTGTAATGCATTTAAAGAGGAAACACCTACAGCCTGACATGTCCAAATGATACTTTTCCCTTTTCCCACAGACTTGCTCTTCCATTTCTTTCCACTGGGCATATATGAAGGGAAATGGTGACATTTCAGTGTCACATGGCTGTTACACTTCAGAGCGTCACTCTGAAGGAGGAAGGAAGTAAACCCATTGGCTGTGCTGAGATACCAAACACCCTTCCCCAGCAGGGAGTGTGCGTAGTGTCAGCATCATCAGTAATTGCTCTTCAGGTTAAAACAGGAGAAAGGGCCACAACAGCTAAAACACCCCCTCACAGCTGTAAATTACTCATCAATTGTTAATGTTGCGGTGCTGAGCCGGAGCTGACTCAGCTGTCATTGCGCTTGTGTCATGGAGAATTTCATTTCCCTCCTGCTGCTCCAAAATCCCCAGTGTTGGAAGTAGCACTTAATTGTACCGCAGCTGGTGGGAAAATCCAGCTTCTAGGGCAACATCAGGGGAGAAATAATACCAGTAATCAGATTCTGCTTTTTAGTACCTATATTTTAAGACTTTTCTTGAAAACACAGATAGTGTGACAACAGGTTTAGTACCCAGGTTTATAGACATGTCATCAAGCCAATGACCAAGGTTTTCCTTAATCTAAAAGCTCCGGTTTCTGATTAGTCAGTGACCTCCTCAGCTACAGTAATCACATCTCCTAGATCCTGGAAAGACTGGGTAATGGGACTCCGTGAAGCCTGCTGGATATTTTAGATACCTTCATCACATAATGTGGTCCTACTATCCAGGCTCCTTTGGTGGTTCCTTAACAAGGCCAAACTCTCACATGAATATCCTCCTCCTTAAAAAGAAAACTAGGTTCTTACCCTGGCCTTAAAAAAAAAAAAAAAAAAGGAAAACAGATGTCTTATAGTTCTCATGGAAGCTCTCTTGCTCCTCTCCAGTTCAACTGGAGAAGAAGAATCTGTCATGGCCTATGACTTTTAGGTTTTGTTCTTGATATCCAAAGACACACGGTCACCCCAAATATAAGAAGCCCATATTCTATATTTCTGGACTCAAAACAGATTTCCTTAAGATTAGCATTTTTCTTTCAGGAAGCTTCTAATTTCTTTTCTACCAGCACACCAGTAACTGCTTTTATCACTCCTAAGTATGCAATATGATTTGTCACATTGCAATTCCCAGAGTGAAATGTGTCACTAAGGAAATTTGGAATAACCTTTTTTTTTCCCCTAGCAAATTTAAACTTGAGGCAAATCAGGTAAATGTTTCTTTGTATTACACAGAGTGAAAACCTTGCTGTGTTCATAAAAACAACATAAATCAAAACCAGCTAGCTAAATTCAGCTTGGTTTCACATTCTGCAGCAGCCCAAGTATTATTTGGATAAACAGTGAACTCTGTTCACTGAGGTACGTAATCAAGTATCTTCATTGTGACAACTCACCTCAACACAGTGCATCTGGAGTCATACTTTTAGTGTCTGCTATCGCCTGTACACATACCAATCTATGTGTGCATCTGTGTATTACAAATTTAGATGTATTTGAACGGCAATTTCTGTAGGTGTGATGGGTTTGTGGTGGGTTGGGTTGGGTTTTTTTTCTCCTTTTTCCTTTTTCTTTTGTTGAACTCTTTAGATATTCTGTGTGGAGGCTTAGTCAACATTTCCTTGGAGACTGTCAAATATTTATGCAAGTCTCAGAGATCTCAATTTGAATTAATGAAGGCTGCTCAGCCAGAACAATGACAAATCTATTCCATTTACCTGCTCAGCGAGAAGAGGCAGCAATACCTACAAAAAGAGAACCCGTGGCATGTTTCTCTGTTCTCAGGTTTCCAAAGGCCTCTCAGAAACACAGCAGAATCTTCCTTTTTGTAAAGCCAGATTTATATATCCTACCTATTCCCAGAATCATTACTTATTTTTTCTAATGAAAAAAGGCAGGAATGGAGAAATGGTTTGGTGATTGTATATTCAAGATAAAAATGACAGAATTCCTCTCAATACATATGAGTAACATTGTTCTTCATTGTAATGAGCACCCCAGAAAGTTCTGCAAAGTTATTTAGGTCAGCAGAATCCTGAAATGCTTTAGGGTCCATGACTTTGAGCTGAATGCTGCAAAAACTCTTGTTAGTCAACACAGATAAATGGAGAAAAGGAAATTTTCCTTTTAAGCATGAAATATCTTTATACTATCCGTCACTAAAACTATATAAAAAAATAAAAGCCATAGTAAAAACTATGCTGACTGAAATAATTCAGAATTAAATTCTCTCTTCCCACATGTATGTGACTTTGCTCTAAGGATGAAGGAGGACAACTGGCACTTGCCAGGAGGACCATATATTCTAAAGTGCTTGTAAAGTAATTCAGGGCCACCAGATATGAAGATGAACTTAAAAGACAGGACTAATTTCCACTTGGTCTTAAGGAACAAAAATTTGATAAAAGAATCAAGTACAACCAGAGAAAGACATTTAAAAACAGAGAAAGAATTCAATAGTAAAAGTTGAAACTAGACAATACTCAAAGACAAGAAAACTGACTAAGAAATTAGCCATTAGCTCTATCAGGAGTGGTGGTGGATTCTCCATTAATCTTTTTATATCAATATGGGATATTCCTTTACAAGAAATCTAGTCCAACCTCATTTATCTAGCTGCTAGAAGGAACTAATTTGAGGAAAACCTAGTACCATTCTAGGGGCCAGACTAGATGGATCACTGAAGTTAATGCTGACTTTAAAAAGCTATCAATTATCATCTGTAGTGTTCCAGTATACAGAGTAAATGAAAGATCCACACCATGTAAAACTGTACATTATCATGCGCAGATGTACTTACGTATGATCCCATCTGCGTTGTCCACATGCTTTGGTAAGTAGAGTGCCGAAAGATCACTCTGAAGGACTTCATCTGAAGTTGCTCTAGCTAAAGCAGCAGCCAAAAATGAAGGGCAATTACTGGAAAAGATAGAAAGGAGAGAAAAAAAAGAAAAAAAAAATAAAGGAAACAAATACAAAAAGAAACCCACAAAAAGATATTTTCATCTGATTGAGCAAGGCAGCTTAGAGTCAGGGAAATCCATAGCAATACTTCTAGTAACCCTGTTTCACTCCTATGTTCCCTGTTTTTTAAATTTAAACATTCCGGTTTGTAACCTCTATTTAAATGCTTTTCAAATCTAGACTTTACTCCCCTGCAGAATCTGTCATACAACCCTTACTCAGTGTATATGTTTTCTACATACTTGTCTTAAGCCCGTTCTGTCCAGTTTCTTGTAAGAATTGGAGTCAGGATTCCAAAGGATAACAAAATCATAAGGTTAGGGTTGGAAAGGACCTTAAGATCACCTAGTTCCAACTCCCCTGCCATGAGCA